AACTGGCTAGGTAGCTTGCTACATCACTAGCTACGTCTCTCACCAATTGGGCTCTTCTGCCAATAGCTATAACGCCCTTCTGTCAACCTTTAGCCAACCACCTCGGGCCTCCTCATCAATGGAGCTCCACCGACCATTCCTCTACAAGTTCCTTATGGAATGTGTAGTCCCAATTGATTGGGTTATAATCACTGGCCTCCCTCCTTTTCTGCCTCTTCCTCAAATTGAGATTGTAGTGGACGTACAAATAGACTCTGCAACCACTATATCTTCAACAACAAAATGAAAATCCCTAAACAATTTTTGGATCTCGCTGGATCTATGAGATCATAGGGTTTGAAATTTTTGGATTTATGGAAAACTCAAAAACTTTTCCCTCAAGAACTTGGGTTCTCTGGGTCAAAAATTTCAATTTCTAGACTTTTATTCAATTAATTGGTAGGGAATCTTGTAGAGGGTTGTATCACTTCCAACTAGAACCAAATTTCAATAGATTTGGTTCAAAAAATGAGGGAGAAATTGAAACCTTGGTGGATTGGGTAGGGTTTAACAAAAAAAAAATGACGTTTTTTTGCTCAATAACCAAGAATATTCAGGTCAAATCTCTCAATTTCTAGCTTTTGATCCAACAAATTAGTTTGGGGATCTTTTTAGAGGGTTGAATCACATTCAACTGGATCCAAATTTCAATGTATTTGGATAAAACATGAGGGAGGAACCAAACATTGGTGGATCAGATAAGATTTGAACAAAAAAGAAAAAAGTGTTTTAACAAAAAAAAAAAATGATTTTTCACAAAAATTGAGGAAAACAAAATACTAAGTAACAATCCTTGATTCAAATTGCTCAAAGCTTGATCGGTTTTGATCAAGAATAAGGCATTATATGAACCAAAAAAATATGCTTAGATCAATTAGTAATCAGAACAGCCAAATTTACAGCATAAAGCTGTGAAAGCTGCAAAGCAAAATAATTGGGGAAATCATTTAGATGCAGATTGATTCCCCCTGATGACTTCACTACTCGACCGAATTCTAAAGAACTCAGCCGAGAGAAACAGTACTAGGACTAGTAGTTATAGTACTGTACAAGTAACACACAACCGGAGTGTGTTCACCTAAACTTGACTTGGCACCTAGCCAAGTTCAAGTCGACCCATCCGAGCTTTGAATGCTGGTTTTTTGTTTGCCTGCAAAACACAATCTCTACCGGTCACACGCACACTCTCACATGCAACACATATCCAAGATCCTTCCTTTACTAGAGTTATCTTGAATTAAATTGTTAGCCCAACATGGTTCCTATACCACACTAGGATCATTCTTCATTATAGCATGTGTAGCTTGCAATCTAGGTATTTTGATTTGTGTTGTGCGTCACCTCTTTACTCCCATTATTTGTTGTTGCAGAATGTGTACGACAAAGACACATTCACCAAGGACGACAAGATGGGAGAAGCTGTGTTTGAAATTCAGACCTTGATAGAGTGTGCAAGGCTCAATTTGGAGGGTGTACCGAGTGGTGCAGTGATTAGAACGGTTGCACCGAGTGAGCACAACTGCTTGGCTGAAGAGAGCCTCATTTGTCGGACTGATGGGAAAGTTATTCAGGACCTTCGCCTCAGGCTACGTAATGTGGAGTGTGGTGAAGTGGAGCTTCAATTGGAGTGGATCATTGTACCTGGATCTATGGAGATTCAGATGCCCTGAAGTTTCGAAGCATTCATGGTTGGAATTGCCAATGCTCCGATTAGTACCATGAAACACAGTTGTCTAGTTGTGATGTATCCTATGGTTATGGCCTGTTCATATAGAAAGATCTTTGTTTTCTTTGTATGCATAGAAACTGGGTTAATGCAGCTTGATGTGTGTGTCAAAACCTTTAAAATCATAAAATGCTAAGCATGTTTCACCATATGTTTCAGTGCTGCATCTGTATGTGCACACACACGTACATGGTGTTCTTTGTTAATGCATAACTCTCATGAACCATTGGTTTATGCTTTTTATTGATGATACTAGAGGTCTTGAAACGAAAATAGAACATGCAAGGGACGCCATACCAATCTTGCTCGAGTTTGGTGTGGGATACATGGACCCTCCATCCCTAATCATATTTACCCCCAGACTGCCGGCAACAATTCTGCTGAAGGACAAGGGTGGACTTAAAAGTTGGACAGCGGTTCTTCTCAGCTGTCCGTTGATGAAAAGACAGTGAATGGCTGGTCTCTTTCTCCATGACATAATAATAAAAGGTAATTATGTGAAAGGGATTGTGTACAATCAGACCATTTACCTTTTGTATAGGGAGGTCACAATTACTTACAACTACCAAATTTAATAGTTTAGGTGTGTTACAAAGTTCAAGAAATTCTTTTTTTAACTTTGAGCTTAGTCAATGAAATATATGCAGCAATTCAATTTCACATCCAATAGTCAAGATTAATTGTGACCACTTTGTGTAGAAGGTAAATGGTCTCATTATATTTTT